TCTCATCAGTTCTTCCCTGCAGCTTGCCTGCTTTTCACCTCACCCATCCATCCACTAGTCTCTGCTGCCCTAGGTTTGGTGTTCCCTGCCCCCTTCCTCCCAATTCCTGCGTCTTCAGAGCTCCCGGAATATTTTGATTAATGTATTAGGCTTGTACTCCAGTTCTTCTGGATAGTCTTGTTTTTAAGGGTGAAAATCAAGGGGCAAAACCACATTGTCTTAGAGAGTTGATTAGAGCTCATGATGATCCTGTGTGTTGGAGAGTAGAACCGCTCAAGGGCTGTAGAGTTAAAACCAGAATTAGGAGTCTGCCTTTCGTAAACTGAAGGCTTGTCAGTCATGTGCTTCCCTTCTCTGACAGTTGTCAGAGGGCTGTTTTTAACCTGTGACTTAGAACAGAAACTGGAATTTGGTGGAGGGCCCTGAGAATTGAATATTTTGAAGTCAGATAAAATCAGTTGGCTTTTGGCCTTACTTTAGAGCAGATTTTTCCCCCCCTTTTCTCAGTTCCTAGAGGCATAGAACATGATACAATTTGGAGGCTTTGGCTGACAGGATAAGTCTTCAAGCTGAGGACAGCAGAGCCAGTCAGACCTTTTACCCACACCACAGCAGCCAAAGTGTGAACAGGCTAAAAGGATTTATTTAGCCTGTGCTCTCCATGGAGATGTGTTTCTATGACACTTGGTTTTGTTGAAATTGAAATTAACTTTTTAGTACTAACCCATGTCATCCATGTTAAGGCAATAAAAAGAGCATTTTATTTATTTATTAGGTCTAAATGGAGGATCATAGTGTGAATTAAACCTTAACATAAAGCAAAAAAAACCCATAACTGACTGAGCCTTTAGGCAACATCATGATAGATGTAGAAAACATTGAAATGATTAAAGTTTCAATTTTGCTCAGATCCATGATAAACACTTATGATAGCAGCATTCCAGAAATGGGTAGGGGGGGACTGTTAGATTAGGCAAATCTGCTCTCTGTGAAAGTGCTACAGAGCAAGGCTGTCAGTTTAAAGACTAAGGTGTTCCTTATCCAAGACATGATATTCTCATTTGCTTCATATGCATGCCAGAGTTTGACAGTGAGTTAGGAAGTTCAAAGAAGAATTGATGTCTTTGAATTTTGATGGTGGTGAAGAATGTTGAATAAAGGGAACTTTGCCAACCTCGTATGTAGAGAGTTGTGCTGCTATACCAAAGAATTTCTTTTGACAGTTTGAATCCAGCAGTCGCTTTTCAGGAGAAAAACAGTCTCCTCTCTTGTGAGCTATAGTTTTGGGATCCACTCCATGGCAATGACTTTGACGTTTGACTTGCCAAAAGAAAAAGGCAATGCAGGCAAGAGTCTTTCTTACAAGCCAACGTTATGAGACTTTGTCTCACATACGTTGGGCTTGTTGTCAGGAGGGAATATGTTTTGGAAAGGGATATCATACTGGGAAAGATGGAGAATGTGTAAAGAGATGAGCCAGGAAGTGGATTGCACAGTGAACAACAATGAGCAGAGATTGTGTGAGATATTGCAGCATAGGGCAAGGATTGGGTATGTTATATATAGGTTCACTATGAGTTGGAGTGGATTAGATGGCACCTAACAATAATAATAAATTTGGGTTCAATAAAAAGGAGTTCAGAGCAAGCATGGAAGGCAAGCAGAGTGAGTTAGGAAGAAATTGGGAGAACTAGGAGGTTGAAGAAGGAAGTGCTAACACGTCCTCCTACCCAGCTGCTTCCCCAAAAGATTTGTTGACTTATCTTTGGAAAGGTTTTCTTTTATTTATTAAAGTCATAAATTTTATATCCTGAAATATACTTTGTTTCCTCCTTTGTATAATTTGAGCTGTCCTTGAGATTTTTGTAACTCATTTATATTTTAATAAAGATATCTTTTTAACATCCTAATTAACTAATATAATTTAATGTTTACAAACTAGATTGTTTGGCAGTGCTCTTTGTCACATTTGCTTTCAGAGAGACTGAAGAGTAAAACTAAGTTTAATGACATTTTTTGGCAGTGTTTCCCCCTTTATATCCAAATAGAGGAGTAGCTCGAAGGAAACTGTAGTGTAAACTTAGGAAATTGTTAAGTAGAAGTTATAGCTCAGTTTTGAAAAATCTTTCCATTAAAAATGATTATGCCTAATTAATCTTATTATAGTGTTACTTTTAGAATTAAAAGGGCAAGCTTAAATATGCTGAAAGGAAGAATAGCTACAGATGCATTTTCATCAGATATGGATTTAAAGTATGAAATTGATTGTAAAATAAAGAAAGCCCAAAAAAGTAAATTAAAAGAATGCATTACTAAATTTAAAACTCACGAAATATTCTGGTAGTAATTTAATTTCCGCGGTGTGTTTTGTTTGCTGTATAGCCCCTATAATTTCTGTTAAATTACATTGGAAGAAAAGGGAGAAGATACTGAATAGAAGTATTTGTTAGAGGAAAGTAGATAAATGCAAGATAGTTACATCTGACAATTTTAAGCCTTTGAATGATGGTCAGATCTTCAGTTAACTTCTAAGAAGCAATTTTATTTTTTAAGTTGTATAAGCAGAGTACAGCAGGGAGTAGTTTTGAGCAAATATTTGCCAACATTAACCTTATATTACTAATGTTTGTGCTCGTATAAACTTACCCTAAGGTTTTATTTTATTTTTGGTCTTTATTTTTAGATGTTGGATGTTTACAGTCTGATTCCTTTTGACAATCCAGATGGTGGAGTTTGGAAGCAAGGATTTGACATTACATATAAAACTGATGAATGGGACACTGAGCCCCTTCAAGTCTTTGTGGTGCCTCATTCCCACAATGACCCAGGTAATTTTTGTATTTCAGAAATCCAGAGGTCTAAAGTCCCTTTAGACATAGAGTCTTTTAATGAGCTTATGTCTTACATTTTTGAGCTATAATCCTTTGATAATTTTAACACTAACTTAGTCCTTATATATTTTTATGGATCTCAACATTTAATTTTTTCTGTTTATATTATTCAATGTAAAATAGTCCTATATAGAATAGAATAGAATAGAATAGAGCCTCGTAGTAAGAAGCTGTGCTGTTATCCATCAGTTGCTCTCTGAGAGAAGGGTTGGCAGTCTCTTCCCATGTGATTAAACTGCCTCTGAAAACCCACTAGAGAGTCAGCTATGGATCATCCCCACTTGGTGGCACGCATATGTTGTTGCTATAACATATACAATGCAATATACAATATATATTATACAATAATACAACAATATATATTATATATTATATTATATTACGTATACAATAGTCTGTGTACCATGAAATAATTATGATGACAAGAAGGTCTTAAGTTTTGGGGATAAAAAGTTGTCTGCATTAAAATTACTTGTTGCTCATTTTTACTTAATGAAATACTTTGTAGAATATTGTGCATGTCTATAACTACAGTAAGAGAGACATTGTGTTTGTGATAAAGAGTGAAGCAGGAGAAAGTGGTAGTTAAAAGCGTTGGCTTGATGCCAGGGGGACATGGTTTGAATCCCAGTTCCATTAGTGATTGCTGGATGATTTCAAATATTTTACTTAATTCTCTAAGACTCAGGCTTTTTCCCCCTGGAGTTTTAGGATAATGTGTGTACTTCACAGGATAAAAGTGCAAAGGCGAGTTATGTGGCACTAAAGTAAAAAACCCCTACATTATTGTAAACTATCTTTTGTGATGACTTTTGTTATCTGCTGGGGATAGAGATTCCCCCACCTGGAGGTGAGAGTGAATGGCTAAAATTCTAATGAGAAATGTATTTTGATGTGCAAACATGTTAATCTGAGCACACTAGTATAGAATAAATGACTACTGAATATAATTACAACACTTTTTAAATTTTCTTCTTATTTTGGTTGAACTTTGAAAGATTTGTTTGAGATACTTAGATTTTGATCAGTATTATTAGACACCAGTAGTCACCTTTTGCTTTAACTTCTTGTTCCTTCCTGCTAGCACTCATTTATCATCTAATAATATTTTTCCCTTTTCTGCTATTTTGTAAGGCAATGTGACTGTTACATAGTACCTGATACTAACACACAGTTAAGTATGTCTGTGCAAGTGTGACTGAGTGAAAAAGCAAGAGAGAGGTATCTCCTAAAATATGTTAGAATGATTTCGCCATGATTCTTAGAATTTTCGTAGTTAATGTAATATTGTAAAGATACTCTGTGGTATGATCTCATGTGACCAGCCATTCCATTTTAAGGGGAAGAGAGTGATACGCAACACCTTTATGACCTGATCTGATGGAAGAGGCATTTTCTCAGGCTGTGGCGTGTATCACCTTCCATCTTACATGAAGTAAAAGTAGAGAAACGAGCAGAGCAGGAAGAACCTGACTAGTTCCAAGGAAGAAGGGCCCGGAATAGATAGAGCTTATCATTTGATCCTGAGTCCCTGAATTGAGAAAGCCTCAGACACTCGAAAGAAGATAGGGAGATCTCTAAAGGATGCTGGGACCACAGATGTGGACAGGACACAAAGACTTTGCTGCAGAAATGACATAGAGACACTCTTCCCTGAGAAGTGGTACCCAAAATTGCTCGTGTGCATAAGGACACTATGAGTTGTAATTGACTTGACGGAACATAATGACGACAATAAAGCCATCTACTTGTAATGTTTCTATTTTAGCAGCACTAGAAGACTAAGATAGTTTCCTAGTTTTCAGAAGCATGCTGATTTTGAGTGTGAGATGAAGCCTGAGAGGTGGATCATGGATGGTGGCATGGTTGAATTTTTAAAGTACTCTGCACAGCTGTAGAGAATATGTGACATTGGTATTGTTGTGGAGATCTGCAGGGAGCACATGGCGTACATCAGCATCTGACTTTGATTCTGTCTTTTGTCTTAATGACTTTAACTCTTTCTCCAGAAACCTATGAGGCTAACTTTTCCTCATGTATTTTGATTCATGCTGTTCCTTAGTCTCAGTTTGTTTCTTCAAATCCACACACAGGGGTTGTCAGGCCTCTTGGAAAGCCTTTGGAGATGTGGACTTCATAATCAGACAGAATCCTGCAGGTATGCTGACTCTGCTGTGGACTGCCATGCCACCTAGGTTTTATTTATTATTGTAGCTGTAAAATGAAGATCACTGAGTAGAGCAGCATCTTAAGCAAGGGTTAAAGTAAGTGGATAAGGTGATTAAAATCATGTCTACTCCATACTCCTTGTATTTGCCTAATTGACAGAATGGATTATAACAATATATATAAAAATGGACTTGAGCATATCAGAGATATGGCACAGGATAGGGCAAGATTCAGATCTATTGCTCGTAGGGTTTCTATGAGTTGTAGGTGACTCAGTGACATCTAACAACAACAAGAAGCACCAGATTAAGTTGTTGCTGCAGTTGGTTGCCATAACTGCTCAAGGGGTAAGAATTGTGACTTTTCGGAAGCAGATTGCTAGTCTTGGTTTCCAAGGCACCTGGTGAGTGGGTTCAAACTATTTCAGTGTTTAGCTGATTACACCACTCAGATAAAGTACTAGCATGTTTGCATGGAGAAACTGGGTGCAGACACCACCTGCCTTTCATTATTGGTCAGTGAAATGAGATGCTCGTGCTTCACCTGGGTTTGGAGACTGCCTTGGGCCTATAGCTGTTGTTTTGTGTTGTTTTTTTTTTAAATGGGTGTGTCAAAGGCCATGCAGTTGGCACAGGATAGAGCAGGGTTTAGGGCTGTTGTACATAGGGTTGCTATGAGTCACAAACGACTTGACAGCACATAACAACAACAAGAACTCTGAAAAACTTGTTTTTGGAATGAAAAAGTAACAGTTCTTTGCACCATTTTATTTGAATTGTTGCCTATTTTCTCTTTCTGCCAGTCATGCAAACTTAAATGAGTTCTTGTTACTTTATTGGATATGTGATATTGGATTTCATTTGTGTAATCTGTATTGTAAGTTACAAGGCAGGAGTGGCATCCACTTCCAAAATAGCTTGCTTCTGGAAACTCTATGAACATGGAGGAACGATGAATGTTATACAAGTGTTCAGGTCTTTCGTTCATAGCATTGCTATGAGTTATCTATGACTCAATGGCACTTAACAAGAACAAGAACAACAACGACAATAATGAGAGTACTCTGTTGGCCTACTGGATAGAAAGTTAGGCTGCCAAGCCAAAAGTGGGTGATTTTACTCTGAGGCTCCCAGGCCTGGTTTAAATTGTTTTTTGTTGAGCATTCTTCAGAGTGGTATAGCACTGGTCTGTGCATTGCTGTACAGAGGCAACTCGAGGTTGCTGTGATGCTGAACACTGTGACACTGATGTGTCATATGTGATAATGGTTATCCATGGTGGACAGTGTTTGGCAGAGCTCCCCGATTAAAACAAGCATGGAAGCAGGAGTGGCATCCGCTTCAGAAATGGCTTGCCTCCGGAAACACTGAACATGGAGAAATGATGAAAGTTATACATGTGTTCAGGTGTTTCATTCATAGGTTTGCTATGAGTTGTCTACAACTCGATAACAACAACAACAACATTTCACAAGTATCTTTTGAAACAGTTTTGTCTGAAACGCACCTCTCCTATTTTTGATGGTATTTTTTCAAAGCAGAAAATACTTTTATTAATATTTTCTTTTTTTTTTAACCCCAAACTCCTTCAGTCTCACTTCATCGTATTGTGTAATGCAGACACTTAACTATAATAATGAACTTTGTGGTTTACCAGGCAGTTGGCCAAATGTTATATAAACATGTATGCTCACACTAACCCTTAGAGATTAGGGACACTTGCTTATTACAAAGACATTATCCATTTTTCTAGTTTACACTGGGAGTGAGCAAAATACAGATAATTTTTGTTAGTTTACTTGCATCTTATTGTCTTTAAAACATGAATAATAAAAGAATGTATGTATTTTTCTCACTGTCAAGCCTAGCCCAACACTTGACATACAGTTCTTGCATACCATCAAGTCAGAACCAACTCATAGCTGACCCTCCAGTGGGTTTTCAGAGGCAGTAAGTCTCATGGGAGGAGATTATCCTTCCTTTTCCAGTCAAGCAGCTGGTGGATTTGAACTGTTTGTGTTTGGGATTGCAAGCAGGCTCTTACCACTAGGCTACCCGACCTCCCTATACTTGATGTAAAATAATAGCTAAATATCCTGGACTCTTCTCATCTGTCTTTATTATGTCCCTCCTCAACTTTATCATACTGTGCACAGGCAACACCAAACATACACACATATCACCAGCTGCATATTTACAGTCACTGAAGGCTTCAACTTTTATCTTTTTAACCACCATGTCTCTCATGCCTAGAATAGTCACTGTAATGTACTAGCATCCAGTTGATTGCTGTCCACTGTATTCTGACTGCCAGCAAGCCCTTTCTTGGTCAGAGTAGAATTGCACTTTATCAAATTTTCATTGGCTGTGAAATTTCCATATGTTCATCAATCCAATCTCTGAGCTACCTCTGCGTGGACTTGAACCATTAGCCTTTTGGTTAGCAGATAAGAGTATCATTTGTGCTATCCAGGGACTTCAAACAAGGATATAGTCAGTTGTCAGTATTTTTAATTCTGGAAGTTAATAAACAAATGAAATAGACTCTTCAGAATCAGATGAAACACTTGACTTAATCCTTGCCCTATTTTTTTTTTTAACATACCTTCTTCCTACTGTCTAGTTATTTCTTTTCCTTTAGGAAATACCTTCTGTAAAATGTCCTTTGTAATATTATGTACCTGCAGAAGAAGATATTAAACTCTTCAAGGATAGAGCTGGCCTCTGCCTTTGAGATATTTTTTTTTATGGCATTACTGTTCTTGCAAC